CGATTATTTGCGTGGATAAAGGAATAAGTTTTTTTATCACAAACTTATACTTTCTTTGACGCTATTTAAGGCATAATAAGACTACCCACATACAATATTTTTGAAATATTTTATGTTGTCAATTATCATGATTTATAGTATTTTTACGATAGATTCACTTGAAGAATCAATGGAATTTTTTGTATTTTTTTTCAAAACATATTTTATGTTGTCAATTATCATGATTTATAGTATTTTTACGCAATTTTTAAATATAAATAAAATTAAAAAAATATAAGACAAATAAATTAAAATAGACCCAATATAGTCTCAATTTATGTGACACAAATGAAATTTGGAGAGTCATCCAAATTTTCATATTTTTTAAAAAAATGTTTGAAGTTATTAATTATTGTGATTTATAATATTTTTATGTAACTTTGAAATAATGTACATTACTGGTCACTTTGTCCTAATTTATGTGATATGTATAAAATTACAAAATTAACCTTTTAAAATGTCTTTAAGATATTTTAAGCTGTTAATTATTATTATTTATAATACTTTTTTGGTAATATTAAAATGATATGTGTTATTTTTTCTGTCTCAATATATGTGAGCCTGATAGAATTCTGAGAGTCAACCTGTGTTATTATATAGCTTTTAAATATTTTAAATTGGTAATTATTGTAATTTTTAATGTTTTTTAAATCATTTGTAAATGATATATGTTGCTTCCTTGATTGGGACTTTTCCATTTGTGAGATATATATATATATATATATATATATATATATATATATATATATATATATATATATATATATCGTGCTATGCGCGGGCCCAATAATATAAATGGTATGTTTTGGGGCTAATAACCGAGTTTTTGAAGCGATTGTTTGCGTGGATAAAGGAATAAGTTTTTTTATCACAAACTTATACTTTCTTTGACGCTATTTAAGGCATAATAAGACTACCCACATGCACATTTTTGAAATATATGATGTTGTCAATTATCATGATTTATAGTATTTTTACGATATATTCACTTGAAGAATCAATGAAATTTTTTGTATTTTTTTTTCAAAACATATTTTATGTTGTCAATTATCATGATTTATAGTATTTTTACGCAATTTTTAAATATAAATAAAATTTTAAAAAAATAAGACAAATAAATTAAAATGGACCCAATATATGTTATTTTTGTTGTCTCAATTTATGTGACACAAATGAAATTTGGAGGGTCATCCAATTTTTATTTTATTTTTTAATATTTGAAGTTATTAATTATTGTGATTTATAATATTTTTATGTAACTTTGAAATAATGTACATTACTGGTCACTTTGTCCTAATTTATGTGATGTGGATAAAATTACAAAATTAACCCTTTTAAAATGTCTTTCAGATATTTTAAGTTGTTAATTATTATTATTTATAATACTTTTTTGGTAATATTAAAATGATATGTGTTATTTTTTCTGTCCCAATATATGTGAACCTGATAGAATTCTGAGAGTCAACCTATTTTATTATATAACTTTTAAACATTTTAAAGTTTTTTAAGTCATTTGTAAATGATATATGTTGCTTCCTTGATTGAGACTTTTCCATTTGTGATATATATATATATATATATATATATATATAGACATATTCTATATTATTTTAAAAGGGAGTTTATGCCCAAGTTCTACTATATAATAAATATAATATATAATATTCAAGAAAGTCTCAATCTTGAATATTATATATTATACTTGGGCCTAAACTCTCTTTTATAATATAGTAGAAAAATAATATATAATTTCAAGAAAGTCCCAATCTTGAATATTATATATTATACTTGAGTATAAAATAGAATTTTAAAAGTCCCACAAGTATAATATATAATATTGAAGATTGGAAAAAGTCTCAATCTTGAATATTATATATTATACTTGAGCCTAAACTCTCTTTTATAATATAATAGAAAAATAATATATAATTTCAAGAAAGTCCCAATCTTGAATATTATATTTTATACTTTGGTATAAAATAGAATTTTAAAAGTCCCACAAGTATAATATATAATATTCAAGATTGGGAAAAGTCTAAATCTTGAATATTATATATTATACTTTGGCCTAAACTCTCTTTTAGAATATAGTAGAATTTTAAAAGTCTCACAAGTATAATATATAATATTTAAGATTGGGAAAAGTCTCAATCTTGAATATTATATATTATACTTGGGCCTAAACTCTCTTTTATAATACAGTAGAATTTAGAACTCTCAAACTCTTAGAGGTCGTTTGGTTGGGAACAAATTATCTCAGGATTAGTTATCATGAGGTTAACTATCCTGAAATAATTTATCCCACCATGTATATGAGATAACTTATCACATCATTATGATATAAATGGTAGAATAAGTTATTCAAAACATGGCAACCAAACAAAATACAAAAAAATTATCACTATTTTCTTATCTCATCGCTATTTATTTTTATCTCTCACACCAAACGACCCTTTAATCCTGGTTCTGCCTCTGATGAGATTGCTCCTTCTTTAAGCAAATGTCTCGAATTCAAATTTTAGGTTGAATTAGTCAAACTTCAATATAAATACTAAATCGAGTGAGAAACCCAAAAATATGAAGGGTCAATAAATATCACATTTAAACTATTACTTTCTCCAATTTATGTACCTTGACTTGCTACAAATTTTAAAAAATAATAATAAAAATATGTCATTCTTTTTTTAACCGACTAAAATAGATAATGAGTCATATAAATTGAGACAAATGAATTACGAGTAATTTTTTTTTTGTTCAACCAAGTAACAAAGTCGGTCTCACTTTAACAGTAGTCAACTGTCACAACTGACGAGGGACCTACTTCTCATCAATCATATTCTAGATTACTTTTTTCCACTAAATATCCTAATTTATTAAAATGTTATCACTTTTCATGATTTTGGTTTATTCAATTTAAAAAAAGAAATAATAACTTTAATTTGTTTGGTTTGAAAAGAGAACTATAATTTTTTTTTAATCTATAATTAAAAGATCTTACATAAAACAATAAATCAAAGAGTATTTTATGAAGTTCACATTTTTTTAGGGAGCGTAAGTTAAGAGGAAGTCATGTATGAATATTTTATTCGATTATCATACATTCTTAAATAAATATAGAACAACCAAACTTCCACCAATTCCAAATGTAATGATTTAAATGGGTATTCATCTAGTAACTTATACCTGTATTGATTATGCGAATTTTTAAATTGTTAATCAGATCTCGTATTAGTTTTATATATGAATAACTTATTTTTTATTTCTTTATTAAACGTTGTATAAGTTATATAATTAACTTATTTATAATTCAGCTATCAAATGATCATGAATAACTAATACCTACATAAAATAATACATAGATTCACTCGTTACTAATTCTTATATTACTAATATCTACATATTTCTAACTAGTTATCAAACGACTCTAATGGACCATCTGGTAGCTAGTTAAAGATAATTTATTCATGTATTAATTTATGTATAAGTTATACAAAATATCTAATAGCTAGCTAGCAAGTAAGTTATTCTCATATGTAAATTTAATACGACGTTTGATTTGCAATTTAAAAATCAACTTAACTAGTATTACATATGTAAGCTATGTGGGAATAAACGTATTATTTTATGCATGCCGGAATAGAAGATGTAATAGTTAATACCGCTTTTTGACATCAAATCAAATCATCAAAGTAGTTGTTGCTTTTACTATTAAAATAAATTAACTTGTTGAGTACCTCATTTGTGTCAATTTCAACTTCAAGGTGTGCAACTTCCATCGATGTTTCCTTTCAATAAAAAATCTTTTTGAAATGTATTAGTAACAATTAGGAGTATAAAAATTGCAAAAATTGATCAAAATGGTCCTTAATATATGAGGGATGAGCCATTTTTGTCTTTGATATATATAAAATATGAAATATTTAATCCAAAGCTCTAAATCTAACGTATTTTCTTTAAAATCGTGTAAAACAAATGACTCTAATTTATTATCTAAAGAAAAGAAAAGAAGATGACTAACGTTCTTTTTAAGGATGGGCAAACAAAGATTGTCCCAACATTTAGAGTAATTTATGCGTTATTCAGATTTGAATGACTTTTCTCCGATTGGCAAGGTAACATTTTACTTTGTTCTTTATCTTTCAAGCTTATTTTACGACTGTATGTAATAACAACTTTTATTGGATGATTTAGTTACATAGTGTTCCAATATTACCCTAGATGAGAAAGTTTTGGAGCGGAAATAATACAATTTTCATTTTTATCATTTTGAGGATGACAACACTAAATTGTGGCATGTTGTTTATAAGTAAGAGTTAATGTTAGTTTAAAATTTAATATATCAAAGAGTGGAGGTAGCGTATAGGAGTAGAAGGTTATAGTAGGGGTCAAATGTTGTCTTGCCCTGCTAAGGTTGTTGCCTAGTACTAGTCGTATCATTATATTTCTTGTTATATGTTGTGTATTGTGCTTCGATTATCACACCATTTGTTGTTGTCACTATATCTTTCTTGAAAACTTTACCTTGCTTTCTATATTAATTGTTATGTTTTCTTTATTATTTTTTTCTTTTTATACTTGGATTTGATACACTTAAACCCCAAACTTTTTTTCGATTCTAAAATGTCATTAGTTTTAACCTAAAATTGTTAAATTTAAGGCATTGGATCAAATATGTAATATTCTTACATATATCCAGGGTTATATTCGTCAGTAAAATTAAAATAGTCTCTACCTTTCGGATGAACACTTTGTGTGTGATAAACCTTCCATCATATAATAACCTACAAACTACACAAAGAATATAAATCATATTAGATAAGTCGGACAGCTCGACTCAGAAGGGCATTTTGATCAATTGTTCAAAAATAATTTTCTCAGCTATTTCTGTTACGTCACCGCCTGAAATTCGAAACCAAAACAAAAACCTCTCAGAAGAAAGAAAAACACATGTCATCTATCGAAACTCTTTTTCTTTCTATCGCTCTTTTTCAGAAAACCCCATTTCGAATTTCGAGGTAATTTTTCTTATGGTGGCTACAAATCTTAGATCTTCTTTTTCAATTAATATTTTCTTGAAAATCTAATTCTTGGGGTGTTGTTTGAATTGTATGTTTAGTTTTTTTAAAATAAAATAAATTTTGGGGTTCTTTTTACTAGTTTAGGTGTAAAGAAAGTTGATTTATGGTGATTTTGAAGCTTTGCTGAAATTTATGTGAGTTTCTTGTTTCTCTTTATTCATATGTGAAAATTTGGATATTCTGTTTTGTCTGTGTAGTAAAGATGTTGTAAAGTTTGATTCTTTGTATCTTATTGCTTTCTTATTAGTGGAAAGATAAGTGGTATTAGTGGTTTTTACTATGGGGTTTGAAATATGTAGAAGTAAATAAGAAGTGGAAGGGGGTAAAATATCTAATATACATGTCAAAAATAGTTATCATGTATAAATGGCGTAATTTTTGACCCGTTAGAATGATGTAGAGGTCTTGGTTAACTTATAGGGAATTTAGAATCTTGAAAGGTTTGTTGGGATATTTGATGGTGCAGGCACCATTGAAAAGAATTTTAGTTTGCTGTTAGGTTTCATTTATGATTAGTTTAATCGATAATCGATATACTAAGATAGTAGGAGGAGGAAGTTGAAAAAGAGTTTAGAATCTTAAATGATAGAAGGGGACTGGCTTATTAGAAGAATCTTGCTATTTAAATAGGAAAAGACCTATCCTTTTTTTTTTTCCCTTCATCCAAATAAAGAAGATCATATTTTTTTCTTCTCTGTTCCCATATTATAAAGGCATATTCAAAGAATAACCTCCTCCTGTTGGGATCACCTTATGCCTCACCATTTCAAGTTGCACTTCTCTGTATGAGGTGATCGGGCCTCATTTTGATTGCTCCGACAACAACCACGTACCTAGTGATCCCACAAGTGGTGTGGTGTTTGGGGAGGGTGGGGTGTACACATAACTTACCCTACCTTGTTTTGATTGCTCCATTGTTTAAAACGATGAAATCATGGCTTTTAGTAACATTGTGTTTCAGAGCATGGCCTTTTGCGTTCTTTTTTTTCATAATTGCTTTAGGATTGCTATCAGAATGTCTTCTATGCTCTATCATTTTCGTGCTTGTACTACATGTTGGAATTTAACCTACCTTTTGGATTGCTAGTTCTAATACTTCTCTAACCCAATTGACTTGTAATCAATACACATCAGCTATTTACAGCACATACCGTATGTGTAGTATCCTCCTTTTTGTTATATAATAAGGTTGTCCTTACATGGTTGAATGAAATGAAATTATTGCACTTCTGTGCAGGTACTAAGGTGATTCATAATGTTTGGACGGGGTGCAAGGAGGAGTGACAACTCCAAGTACTATGAGGTGCTTGGTGTTTCGAAGAATTCCAGTCAAGATGAACTTAAGAAGGCATACAGAAAATCTGCTATAAAGAATCACCCCGACAAGGGTGGGGACCCTGAAAAAGTGAGTTGTCCCTTCTCGCACGTGCAATTAGAATTTTCTACGTGTTGCTGTTCTAGATATGGTACATCTATACCAAGGGAACCTTTTGATTCTGATGCTTATTTTGCTTTTCTTCATAAGTTCTTTGTCCTGTTTTGTCTCCACGCAGTTCAAGGAATTGGCTCAAGCATATGAAGTTCTAAGTGATCCAGAGAAGAGAGAACTTTATGATCAGTATGGTGAAGATGCCCTTAAAGAAGGAATGGGTGGTGGTGGTGGTGGTGGTCACAACCCATTTGACATATTTGAGTCGTTCTTTGGTGGAGCTTTTGGCGGTAATAACTATTAACGACCCATCTCCCTCTTGGGAAAGAGACCCTGCAAGAGAAGGGGGGGTGGGGGCTGTTAAATTCCTCTTTGTTTTTATTATCTTTCTAAATTTTTGTAGTTGAAACATCATCTGTGTGCCTTGGTTATCCCAGGTGGTGGTAGCTTCAGAGGCAGCAGAAAGAAAAAAGGTGAAGATGTAGTGCACACTCTAAGGGTTTCGCTGGAGGACTTGTACAATGGCACAACAAAAAAGCTCTCTCTTTCACGGAACATATTGTGTCCAAAGTGTAAAGGGTATTTCTCTTTCTTTAATTATCTGACCTTTTTCATTTACTACTGTCAATAGCACTTTGTGACAGTGATTTTCAAATAAATGTGTTGAATGATGATATTGTATTTAGAATTCTTCTGTTCCAACTTAGGCTGAGAATCAATACCAAGTTCTCTCACTGAACATATCTGAATTGAACAAATTGGGGGTCCAATAGAGAAGAATGTGAATCCTCTATGTATACAGTTGTATTAATCGGTGACTGTGGTTCATCAAGACCGTTTATGTTTCTTCGCGTTATTTCTTTTCTTCTTTTGATGTCTCTCTCCACTGATCCTGTCTGAACTAACTTTAGATTGTAATATGAGTGTCTAAGCGTTAGTTTTTGATTTATGCCAAGTAAACGTGGACATCATCGATAGGTTGGTCCTTGTGTAATTGATTCACTACCGTCGAGCCCTCTCTTAATTTTTCTACTACAGTTGGTTGCATTATTCTTGAGAAATACAATCACCAAATTTTAGGCAGGCTCTGCATTTGCGTCTAAAAATCAACCACCCTCTGAACAGATGTCTGACACAGAGTACTAGATACTTTTGGAATTTTTCGAATTTAGACACCCTTCTATAGGAAAAATTGGGGTTACTAATTTTCTGCGAGTTTTCTCTCTGTAACAAAAAGATATCTTTTTATAGGATAAAATTAATCCCTCGTTGTAGAATGTAGACAAGAACATCTATTATAGCAGGTTATCGTCCAATGATTTGACTAAGAGCCTGTTTCTATTGGCTTTTGGCTTTTCACTTATAAGCCAAAAGGCACAAGTTAGAAATCCTAACTTATGGCTTTTCATTTATTTTCATCATTTTAGCTTAAAATCAAGTGCTTATAATTTATCCAAATACTCCAAAAGTGCTTAAAAGCTATTTTGACTTACAGGTACCTAAAATAAGCCAATCATAACATGCTCTAAATTCTATTTTCTTGGCTCTTTCCTCTCCTTTTAGATGCTGTAACAGTATTCTTGTATCTAATTTTTGCGGTGTTGAAAAATTTGAATTTTATGGCCTCAAAATGTCCATATGTTTGTCATGCTAGTTTCCATTTCTGTGCTCCTCAGGATGGGTTTTGATGAGTAATTTTTGTTGGATCTATACAATAACGATTTGATATTAATTCCCTTGACTGCAGTATACCTCTCATCTATACGGATGTCCACTGAGGTGAATTTGGTGTTGGTGGTTTATATTTCTTCTCCTTTATTGGGTGTAGCTATGAGGTTGCTGCATCTTAGTGGGAAATTTAACATAACCTTTTTCAGTTGCAGATAAACATACTTGAGAAAACATAACATCATTTTTGGTGCAGGAATGACAAGAAAGGCGAGAATATCCAGAAAAAAGAGTCGTCTGATAGAAATTGTTGTATATTCACCTCTTCTAAAAAGTCACCTGTTTCACCGTATCGGTCTATGTTGTCATACCAGAACATTTGCAATCTGAATGAGAGATTAGAGGGATTACACAAAGCCATATTTATTAGTTTAACTTGTCTTAATCGGCCTTTTTATTTATTGGTTGCTTATGCATTAACTTGCTCTACGCATGTATGTTTTATTGAAAACTTCACTGGTGCATATTTACAATTTTTATATGATTTACTTGCATTATCAGGAAAGGTTCAAAGAGTGGAGCTTCTGGAAGATGTTATGGATGTCAAGGTACTGGAATGCGTGTTACAACAAGACAGATAGCCCCAGGCATGATTCAACAGATGCAACATGTTTGTTCCGAGTGCCGAGGCTCAGGTAATGAGATTTCCCTGTAATTCTAATTTTCAGTCTTACATGTCGAGGAAAAAACACTACTTGTAACTATGAATCTTTCCTTGTTAATACAGGAGAGGTTATAACTGAGAGGGATAGGTGTCCTCAGTGCAAGGGAAATAAAATTACGCAAGAAAAGAAAGTATTGGAAGTGAATGTTGAGAAAGGGATGTTACACGGTCAGAAGATTGTTTTCAACGCGGAAGCTGATGAAGCTGTAAGAGTTTTTTGCTATGCAAATTGGCTCAGCTTTTGTAATTCCCCAGTGTACATGTTAAATTGTGCCACAAAAAGTTTTTAGGCAATGTTTGCAAACAAACATTTATCTTTCTTCTCAAGTCTAATCTATTCGAATCTATAAATTTTGAAGTCGGTGCTGGACTTTGAATTGAATATATATCCATCTCACTAATATACAGTATCGTCAGTCCTATCTGCTTTCCTTTTTCTGTTTGTGACTTCCTCTTTACATTTTGGCAGGTGATATTTCATTTCTAATAGTTGTTTTGTGGTGTTATATGCAGCCAGATACCATCACTGGCAATGTCATTTTTGTATTACAACAGAAGAGTCACTCAAAGTTCAGGCGCAAGTCTGATGATCTTTACGTGGAACACAATCTCAGTTTGACAGAAGCTCTCTGTGGCTTTCAGTTTGTCCTGACTCATCTTGATGGCAGACAGCTTCAGATCAAATCTAGCCCTGGAGAAGTTATAAAGCCCGGTAAGGAGTGTTCTTAACTTTGTGGCGTGAAAAGTGATATTTATATATGGGAATCATTTCGTTCTCTCTTGCAGATCAATACAAGGCAATAAATGATGAAGGAATGCCCCATTATGGTAGGCCATTCATTAAGGGTCGGCTCTATATTCATTTTAATGTGGAATTTCCAGAATCTGGATTCCTTTCTCCCGAGAAATGTTGTGCTCTTGAGGCTATTCTGCCACCGAGACTAGGGAAACGCTCATCTGATATAGAGTTGGGTAAGTGTGAGGAAACCACTATGCATAACGTCAACATGGAGGAAGAAATGAGACGCAAGGAGCAGCGTCATCACAGGCAAGAGGCTTATGATACGGATGATGAAATTGACGCAAATCTGCATAGCTTGGGTTGTAACCAACAATAGAAGTTCCCAGATAGTGTGGTCTTTTTAGTTGGAGTCCCCAATTTTGTCTAATGCTCTGTTGGCTGCTTTGGTTAGTAATTAACTGATTTTCTTTTTGGTTCTGCTTTTCAGTTTGTTGTGTTGATCTCAATGCAGGTTTTGTACATTCCTTAGCTATAGAAAAGGCAAATTTTCAGAAATAGCGATAGTTTGAGGTCTAATTATCAAACATAGCGATAGTTTGGATGATAACCAAACGTATAGGAACCTAGGTAATAGTATCTCGATCCTTTGTATCCTATCTATCTATCTATATCTATATTAGTTGTTTGATCCGTTGCCATCTTTAATAGGATTAGACTAAGTTGGGGCAGAACTTTTCGTTGATACGACCTTGCTATTTTTAACATTCATTCTCTTTCAGGATAAGTCGTGGTTAGAGTGTCAAATGTGTGGGTTGGGTTGAAATAGAAATTGGGTTTGAGTCTTAACTTGCCGAAGTTAATTTTGGGCTCAAATGGATTTAAAAATGGGTTGGGTCTTGACCTGCCCAATTTGATCTCTGCTTATTCTCAATAATTTTAGTATATTGTTGTTTAAGTTTTATATCCACAATTTGAGTTCAACTAAAGAAAATTTAAAAAAAAGAAGTTACAAATTGATGGATAAATCCTAAAAGATATAAAATAGATAGTAATTCATACCTTCAATATAGGAACATACATTACATCAATGCAAATAAAGAATCTTAAAACGGGTTGAAATTGGAGATTAAATTGAATTCAATTGAGGATTCTCTTAAAATGGGTTGAAATTGAACCCAATTCAAATTATCTTGAGCCCAACTCTCAGATTTGTTGCATTTATATCAAAGTTCATTCTTTTGTTACAAGTCATTTGATTAAAAAAACAATGAAATTTGTCATGAAAGAACAAACTTTGAAGCTTTGGGTATTGAAGAGAGAAGAAGGTGAAAATAAAAGAAAATGATTCGGACCGGACTAAATGGATGGGTTTCTAAAAAGAATCTGTTATTTAAAATTGAGCGTGAATCATATGATTCTTAGTTTTGTGTCAAAATATAATAGAATGAGTATATTTAGGCCGAAAGTATCACAAAAGGGGCTTGGACTAGAGTATAATTAGGAGTATACTTAAATTAATTTTGATAGTATATATAGAGATATATTTGACCCATTTTTCAGTGTTTGGTATGTGCTAACTAAATTAAGATTCACATATTGCAATTCCCATTATGGGTCGACGTTTCCAAAAGAATTCTTTTCATTGTCAGAAGCTCAAATGCTTTCTGACCTCTGATTAAGAACGAAAGAATCTCAATCATTTCATCATAATTCAAATTACCTCAATAATTAAATTGTTCCTAAAAAATTCAATAAATATAAGAGAAACATAAATGTGAAAAAGACACTTGTAGGTTTTTGGTGGATAAATATGGCTTTCCTTTCCTTAGGTCAATACCAATACCATCCACTAAAGTCACCAAATTTATTGGAGCATTTATTAGTGTATGAGTTTGCACCCAAAAAGTATTAATTTCTAAATTTTATGGACCAATTCAAGATTTAAAATTAATTAGTTTAGACTTTTTCTTAAATAATAATAATAATGATTTATTTTATTTTATTTTATTTTAATAATATTTATTTAAAAAATAGTAATTTTTTATATATTTATTTATGTTTTTGTTAAAAATATTGAATTCGATTAAACATCCTAAACCTAAAGACAACACCTACGATCATCAGTTTTGGTAAACATTATTACGGTCCATGTATATAATCATCATAAAACTATGAATAAGTGTGTTGAAAATAGTTATTGGGTCGGATTTATTTATAAGAACTATTTATTAGCTTGTTAATTCATTAGTTTTATCCTTTTTTTAGGAGATAAGTGTCAAAAACACATCTAAATTATCTCATTTTTTTGAGTTTCATACCTAAACAACTAAACTATTGAGAGTGTGAGTTTCATACCTAAACTATCACTTTTTAGTTTGAGAAACACACCTCAGTGGTGTGTATAATACACACTCTCTTTTATTTGAAAAAATCATTGACACATGTCATTCCACATGGATACAATATTCCACCTTGACAAAAATTAAATAATAAACTATTAATATTAATTAAAAATTAAAGATTAAAGTATTACTATCCATAAAAAAAATATTTTTTTTGAAAAAATAAAATTTAAATTATTTTTCTTACCCCACTCCACCACCTCCTCCTCCACGTACCCCCCCGACAATCCCCCATCCTTTTTTAAAAAAAATTATTTTACAAAATTCATACTTCACCCTCCCCCTTCCCAAAATAAAACCACCCACTCATCCCTCCCCCCCCACCCCCCCAAAAAAAAATTGATATTATTTTTTTAAAAAATAAAAATTGACACCCCATCCTATTTAACGCTTCCGTTCCTAATTTTTATTTTTTTTTACATTTTTTTATTTGGTGTTAGATACGTACGTATGTATATTTTTAGAAAAATATTTTCTACTAGTATACCGAATATAACATAAATAAGTAAAAAAATTAAAAATGTCTTGCGGCAGCAAGTAAAAAATATTTTTGATATGTATAAATCTAACACAAAATGAAAAAAAAATTGGAAGCGGAGGGTTAGGTTGGTTGGTAGAATTTTTTTTTAAAAGAATAAAATAATATCTAAATTAGTATTTGAGAGGGGGAAGATGAAGTAAAAGAAATTAAATTTTTTTATAAAAGAAATTATTTTGTTGGATAATAATTTTTAACTTTTAATTTTAACTAATACTAATAATTTATTTAATTTTTGTCAAGGTTGAATATTTTTGCCAGGTTCATAGGTCTCACGTGCATACAAGCTGAGTCTACGTAGAATCTCAAGGATCGGTACGGAGACGTCTGTACTTATCTCTGAGAGGCTATAAAGACTATTAGGAAACTTCCTTTTTGTTCATTCTTTCTCATCGTGTGTGGTTACCTTCTTTAGTACTGAGCTATTGTATACTCTTTTGACAGATGACGAGGACTAGAGCGACTGTTACTGGTGGTAGAGGGGAGGCACTTCCCGAGGCAGTTGTTGAGGCCCCAGCTAGGGGTAGGGGTAGAGCCCGAGCTAGAGGTCGTGCTCGTGGAACGACACTAGCCAGAGGTCGTGGCCGTGGAGCAGCACCAGTGAGAGGTCGTACTAGAGAGGCCTCTCTTGAGCCTCAGATTGATGACAGAGAGGACCAGGTTCCTCCAGAGCCTGCAGTTACACCTTTGCTTCAGGATACATTATTGAGGGTGTTAAGTGTGCTTGAGAGCTTTACTCAGGGTGGTGGTGCGACCACTACACCACAAGACTCTCAGACTAGAGAGGGGGCTCAGACCCAAGAGCAACAGGAAGCTCCAGTTATGCATGATGCGGTGGGACAGCCACCAAAGGATCCCATGGTTGAGAATGATCTTGCACCAGCAATTGGGTGTCAAGGTGCACCATTGGTTGTTCTGACAGAGGATGAGCAGCGTAGGTATGAGAAATTTCGAAAGATGGACCCACCTCAGTTTCAGGGTGGGAAGAGTGAAGATGCTCATGAGTTTCTGACTACATGCCGAGAGTTACTAGAGGTTGTTGGATTAGCTGAGTCACATGGGGTTCGATATGCTACACTCCAACTTCGTGGGCCAGCGAGAGAGTGGTGGAGAACTTATTCGGGGGCTTTGCCAGTTGGATCCCCTTCAGTGACTTGGGAGAGGTTTTCCAGTGCCTTTCATGACCGTTTTATCCCTTGGAGCGTGAGAGAGGAGAGTCGTTTGAGGTTTGAGAATCTGAGACAGGACAGCTTATCAGTTACAGAGTATGAGGCCCGTTTTTGCCAGTTGTCTAGGCATGCTTTGGCCATTATTCCAGACGAGACAGAGAGGATTCGTAGATTCGTGAGGGGGTTGACTTTCTCTATCAGATCGGCTGTGTTTAGAGCATCTAGAGAGGGGGCTTCCTTCCAATCCATTGTGAGTGCCGCTAAAGAAGCGGAATTGATGGAGAGAGAAGAGTTTGGGGACCCTAAGAGAGTCCGTACAGCAGGTCAATTTCATGGTGCCTCATCTGGAGGCAGGGGATCACACAGAGGGAGTGGTTCCTTTCAGCAGCGAGGACCCGTTCATGCATCTATACCGACATCCGAGGGTGGTCAGATACCTCGGGGTTCTTATAGCGTGGGTCACAGTTCACAGCAGCGACCTATGGGGCGAGGCAATTATAGTGGGTTTTCAGGGTCCGCACAGCAGTTCCCGGGACAGAGATTTTGCTTTTCTTGTGGAGATCCCGATCACCTGATGCGACAGTGTACTTCCCAGAGGGGTCGTGGAGGGTCCCAACCTAATTCTTCATTTCAGGCTAGACCACCGGTACCACAAGGTAGAGGCCGAGGCAGAGTTCAGTCAGGTAAAGGCGGTAGAGCTTCTAGTAGTGGTTCTGCAGCTCAGCAGAGTGGGGGTAGAGTTATCACCCAAGCTGGAGGTGGCCGAGGGGGCCACTGTTATGCTTTTCCGGGGAGACCCGAAGCGGAGACTTCTGATGCTGTTATTACAGGTATCATCCCAGTATGCCATCGATCTGCGTCTGTATTGTTTGATCCAGGGTCTACATTCTCTTATGTGTCCACCTATTTTGCTGCTGAATTTGATATGATATATGATAGCATGACTGTACCTATTCGTGTTTCTACACCCGTGGGTGAACCCTTAGTGGTGGATCGAGTGTATCGATCTTGTCTTGTTTCTCTAGCGGGGTATGACACTTGGGTAGATTTAATCATTCTGGGGATGGTAGACTTTGATGTTATCTTGGGTATGAATTGGCTTTCTCCTTATCATGCTGTCCTTGATTGTAATGCTAAGACTGTGACTTTAGCAATGCCTGGTGTTCCGAGGGTTGAGTGGAAGGGTGCTAATGGCTCTTATCCTAGCAAGGTCATTTCTTTTATTCGTGCTCAGAAATTGGTGGAGAGAGGGTGTTTGTCTTACTTAGCTTTTATTCGGGACACCAGTGTTGAACCACCTTCCATGGATTCTATTCCCGTGGTTCAGGAGTTTCTCGATGTATTCCCTTCTGATCTTCCAGGTGTTCCTCCCGATAGAGATATTGATTTTGCTATTGATTTGGAGCC